AAAAAAAAGGAAAACCCGGTGCCCCAGAATTGTGTTCCCCTTTAAAAGAGAGTTTTCCCCCCCCCCCCGCCCTTCTCATTACATTAAAACAGTTGGTCATGCCTCACTTTCATAGATAGCATTCTATCCACTATTTAAATGGAACATCCTCTGCAAGTTCCTGTTAATCAGGGCTACTTCAAAAGTATACCCTGTAACAGTAATGCAGAGTGAAAAGCTTTTGAACTGAAGACATTCCATTTGGCTTTGGCAAAACAATTGTTCTCCAGCACCTGTCACTTATACAATTCTGCTGCTGAGGTATTTATTAACAGAGTTCTTGAAGATGGCTCATTCTTCCTGCAACATGCTGCATGGTCATGGCAACCTCCCAAGAAGTACAAGGGCATGCACTGTACTAACACCCTGCCATTTGTCTGCTAAGATTCTGCTAGAATTCCTACAACAACACATGGGTTGAAACAATCACTCGGGTTCTAGTACACTATGAATTTTATTCAGATTTATGATGCAAACTAACTTTTCTTTCCTTAGCAGCAACTCCAGACTGGACAGAAGATGTTTATGAAGTTTTTGTTTTAGTTGACAAGAATTATATGTTACATAATAATGTTGCTAAATTTTGCTTTTACAACATGGAGGATGATGATTTCTGTAGCATAAAAATTAAGAGCAGTATTAGGGTTCTTAATTTAATTATTATTTATCTTATTGTTAGGAATACAGATTCATAGATAGGTTGGTGTTTTGCTTGTCTTTTATTGTTTCTAAGTATGCTAGCTTTAGGCCATAGTAAAATTTGATTTGTATTATTTATCTTAATTGTTAGGAATATAGATTTATAGATAGCTTGGTGTTTTGCTTGCCTGTCGTCGTTTCTAAGTGTGCTGGCTTTAGGCCATAGTAAAATTTGATTTGAATTTAATGTTTGATTCCAAGAAGTCCCATGAGGCAACTGCATGAAAAAATAAAGGGACAGTAGAAAAATCCACCAAGAAAGCACACTGAAAAATGAGAGAATATTACAAAAGTTAATGTAGAAACAACTCCCTTTGTTCATAGGTCATAAAAGATGATCAAGGAATAGGGAAGATAGAGGCATCTGTGAAAGAACTTGGGACTTTACAAACTGATATGGCAAAGAAGTCTAAGAACAGCTGGAATGTTCCAGAAGAACAAAGGTCCTCAATATCTGTAGCAGAGAACTTGCTTGAGCATTAACATTTGCTACTACAAAGGACAGGTCTCCATTTGGTACTACAAAGTAAAGAGGAAAGGAGATGCCCTGCCGCAGAGTTCATTATGGCTGCATTTCAAGGGGGCCTACTAAAAAGCAAATCCCACTGAAATCAGCTTGAATAATGATATTTAGGATTGGTCTGGAATGAAACTGAATCCACTATCGTATGTTCCTACCTTTATAGCAAAGTTCCTCAACCTTGGCCACTTGAAGATGTGTGGACTTCAACTCCCAGAATTCCCAGAGTTGAGGTCCACACATCTTCAAGTGGCCAAGGTTGAGGAACACTGCTTTATAGGACTATAAAGGGCAGTCTTGTAAAGCTACTAGATTTTGTGAGACCATACCTTGAATTTGTTGCCCACGCTGATAAAACTTAGTTTTCCTGCTTTTTGCTTAGGGTCCTTATTGTTGTTAGTGTTGGATTCAAAGAGTTGCCGGATAAATTTATCCTTGGATTCACATATGAGGGACTCCAGAGACATATGCAGAGCATCGTTGTTTTTCTCCACAAACTGGATCTGAGGGAAATCAGAAGCATTTCAGTTACTTAGGAGAGCACACAGATCTGAGCTATTTCTAGGTCATATATATGAATTAAGGCAAGCACATGTGAAAAAGATTGGCAAGAACTTACTCTCTAAAAGCAATGCCCTAAAAAACCTGTGATTTATTTTTTTAGCATGGAAGAACAGACAGATTCTATCTAAAATAGCAATTTTGCAACAAATAAACTACAGCAGTACAGTTGGGTGGGAAACTCCTGAGCATCAATAAGTTTCAGGCTGAACAAACACAATGGGTTTTTAATATGTTACAATTGTTTACCAGAATTTAACTTATATTAAAATAAACATTTAGCGAATATGCATAAAATAACAAAAATACGCATTTGTACGTAAGTATAACAAAGCCCATTATTGTTTATTAACACATTTCTTAAAAATCATTAAAGAAAGAACAACACTTTCAGATTCATTTACCGTCTCATAACATACTGCTCCTGCAAAATGTCTGATGATAAATCCCTCATCATCACGAATATTTCGATGAACAGCTAATTTAGACTTCCTGGGTATCTGAAATGCAAAAGAAATATAATTTAAGATATATATATATAGATCTGGAAAAAATGTTGTAAGAGCTCATAACAAATACAAATGAGACACTAAAAAAATTAAAATAAAAATCACTTGTGAAGAAAAGCTAGCAACAGTATCATCCAGGGGCAACATACTAGCTAAAGGGGTCTCAATGGCCTTCCAGTAAATACTGTTAAGTCATACTAGCAGGAATATATAAAACGGCAAAGGAATCCCAACAAGAACTTTTGAAGTACATCTTAACAAACAGATCAGGTCATGTGGAAGAAGACAGATCTTCTATTAACCTGGTCCCTGCCAGTTTTAATGCTTAGAAAAGATCAATAATTGAATTGAATTTAGAATTTTTTTCTTTTTAATCCGCATTCAATCGTGACCGATTCTGCAGCGAGCGCCTTGTCAAGTCCCTGAAGTTTTCATGGCAAGGTGTTTTGGAAGTGGTTTGCCATTGCCTCCTTCCTAGGGCACAGCCCAGCTGGTGGACGCAGGAAGGCGGGATTTCCGTTGCTTCAGGTCTTTTTCCGACGTACGCAACTTCCACATTACCGGCAACTGCTCCCATCTCCCGTACAAGGTGCTGCCAGTGTTTTCCCTCCCACCGGGGTGAGAGTACCCATTTATCTACTTGCAGATGCTTTCAAGCTGCTGGGTTGGCAGAAGCTAGGGATGAGACAGGAGCTCACTCTGCTGCATGGGGCTGGGCTCAAACCGCTGAAGTATCGACCATTTCTGGCCGTCAACTTCAAGCGTCATTAAGCCACTGCCCCACTGCATCCCCCAGTTTAGAAATAAGTCAGTGTAATTATTTCAAAATCAGCTGTACACATTCTGTGATCCACCCAAGTCAGCAGTCTTACAACCACACTTTAGACTACCTATAACTCTATAACTTCTGGTGGGTCTTTTGAAGGCAAGCCTACAGAGCACTGCCTTTTGGATGTGACATAAGGAACAAATAATGATAGCTATATTGTCATCACAATTGCTGTGTACTGCCATTTTCCTTGGAGGCAGGAATACAAGGACCCAAAAGGATCACATCTACCTCACTTTAAAAGTCCTATAGCTTCACCTGATCTACAATGAATTTTGCAGGTAATATTCAGTGATGACATTTTTAGACATATGTGACCCTTCAATGCTTGGTCACAGCCTTTTCAAATAAATATTTATTTGTTACTTATACATTGAATTTCTACCTTGGTTTTTTCTCTATTTGCTCAGGACAGCTTACATGGGAATCTTCATTTAAATTCCACAACAGCCCTATGAGATAGATTGGACTGAGACAGAATGGCTAGTTCAAAGTCATCCAGCAAGGTTCCCATTGATGAGGGTGGACTTGAACCTCAAACTCCCCAGTTCTTAACCACTACATGTTTAAATGTTCAAAGCATTTTTTCCTACAGACATACAGAGTTAAATCTATCCCAAATATTTATCACTAGAAAGAGTGCCATACAGGCTCCATATTATATTTCTTCTTATCCTTTAGACTGATTTCCCATCTCTTCTCCAGGGACTCAAGAGGTTCCCCTTTGTTTTATCCCCACAAAAAAGTGAGGATTGGGCTGAAGGAGCGTTACTGGCCCAAATTTACCTAAGGAGTTTCCATTGCTGAAAGTGGATTCATTTCTGGATACTACCAGTCCTAGTCTAACACCTAAACCAGTATTTTTCAAACTTGGCAATTCCAGCAGTTGAAGTCCACACTTCTTAAAACTGCCAAGTTTGAAAAACACTGACCTAAACTATTGTGTTATTCTGGTTAAAATATGCCAATCTAGAGTTTAATGTAAGGAGATGCGGTGGCACAGCGGCTTAATGATGCTGAAAGTTGCCGGCCAGAAATGGTCGACACTTCAGCGGTACGAGCCCAGCTCCACGCAGCAGAGTGAGCTTCTGCTTCCTCCCAGGCTCCTGTCAACCCAGCAGCTCAAAAACTTACATGAGTAGATAAATGGGGACTCTCACCCTGGTGGGAGGAAAAATGCTGGCGGCGCCTCCCAAGGAGATGGGAGCAGTTGCCGGTAACGCGGAAGCCACGCATGCCCGAAAAAGGCGCGAAGCAACGGAAACCCCGCCTCCTGCACTTGCCAGCTGGGCTCTACTCTAGGAAGGAGGCAATGGCAAACCACTTCCGAAACACCTTGCCTTGAAAACTGCAGGGACTCGTCCAGGCAGTCGCCGCAGAATCAGTAACAACTGAGTGCAGATTAAAAAACAAAAAGTTTAATGTAACATGATTGGCATCAAATTCTTCTACCACATGGATAGGTAGATAGGTATCTAAATGACTCATCACAGATTTTATTTTAGGAACTGTGGTTTCATAATGAGAGTGGCACAGTAATCAAGAACTTGCAAAGTTCTTTACTTCCGGGACTCAGCCAAACTGAACTCACTTTCCACTTTCACAGTCTCCCTATCACAGTCACTTTCTTCATTAGTGATGGGAAGCTATTTAGTTTCAAAACAAAAATTTGCTTTCGTGGGAATGTGGGCAGCCTTTGCACTTGTCTTTACCTCCTTAAAGAAGGTAAGCCTTTTCTTGGTTCACAGCATAGCCGTGTGGTCCCCAGAAATGTATCCATTTCAGTTAACAGGAAGTTGATAGAATGCAATAAGGAAGCAGGCCAATCTCAGACAAACAATTGCTTATTTAAGCTGATTCCTCATTTGGAGGCCCAACCAATCTAAATTCAAAAAATAAACCTACTGATAGCCTGAAGTGTTCTTTTTGTTTCTGATGCACCACTGAAGTAAAATGTTGATCACTTGGCTGTGGAAGACGATTTTCTTCATCCAAAATATCAAGGATTCCTATCAATTTTCTTTCAATCAAATCTGTTTGAATGATAAAAACAATAGGCTATTTCATAAATAATATTCAATAATAAAAACCTAACCTAACCAAACAAGAAAATATTTGCATGTGTTCTATTAATGTGCTTTCTATGTCCCATAGAAATCTCAGCCTCACAAGACAGTTGCAGTACAACTGTTTTAAATTATTGCAAATTAATTTAAATGAATTTATTTAAAATTATTTAGAATGCAAATTATTGCATTTTAAATAAATATTATTCACTGATACAGCAAGTTATTGGAGTGGCTGTAATTTAAACAAAATTCTCTACTGCACTAAAATACGTTTATGATTTAATATCCATGTTTCTACTGTTATTCAAAGGCACTTACATATATGCATTTTTAAAAAAACATAAAACCTGCAGTAAAATCAAATACAGAAATGCTTTGTAAAATGTAAGCATTTTATGAATATACTAGAATAGTAGCGATCAAGAAATACATCAGTGCTGACAGCAAGAAGGCTCTTGACATATGACTATGTCATACAACTATGACATACAACTAAACTTAACAATTAAAATTAACAAAACTATCATTAAAAAACAAAACACACCATGCCTGGGGCAATACATATATTCACATCCACAATTCCCTGAAAAATGGGCTCACTAAACACCTCGGCCCAGCACCCAAGAAAAAGCCAAGTATTAATTCACTGAGTCCTAGTGTACTTCCAGGAGGAATTTAAGGTACTGGTTGTCACCTATAAAGCCCTTCCTGGCATGGGACTGGGTTATCTGGAAGACTGCTTCTCTTTGATTGTTTATACCTATCCCACCAGGCCCAACAGGAGGGGCATGCTCCAGGTCCCCTCAATTAAAGAATAGGATCTAGGAAGTGGGCTTTTCAGTCACATGCCTGCCCAAGATAATATTAGATTGGCCGACCTTGCCAGCCTTTCACAAAGCACTGAAGACCTGAATGTGCTCCAGGACACGGGGGGTTAGGAGGTTAGATGGCCTATGAAATGTTTTGTTGAAAGTTTCCTGGGTTTATTCTCAGCAAGCTTTTAGGTTTTTTAATGTTTTGTTGACCTTTTTTCTAGGGTTTTTAATGTGTTGTTAGCCGCCCAGGGCCGTATCTTCAAGATGGGGGCCATGTAAATTGATTTAATAATTAATTAAATAAAAAAATAATACATTACAGAAGGTTATCAGGGACAGGGCCATCCAAATGTCAGAGAGATATGCTGTTCTACAAGGCAGGCACAGAAACAGAGAAGGCATGCTTCCCAAGTCCCACTAAATAATCCTGTTTTTGAGGCTGACACCTACTTTGTCACCAAATGTATGTTTTGGAGGGTCTGAAAGAAATAGCATGCGAAATAGACACAGCTGGGGCTGCAGGTGGAAAGACATAAAAAATAACCTTCTTCCTGCCTTCTACCTGGAAGAGTATCAAGTTAACAAAGCAAGAAACTTCACTGCTTCCAGTTCACTTTTCCTCATGTAAACATGACTTCTAAGCCTGTGAAAGCATGACTTGTCCCACTAACTAATGTTCAATATACTCTAAAACCAACTCTCTATTACTGAGGTAAACGGTCCAGGCTAATTTACTAGCTTCAGATTTTGGCCTGGTGGACCCAAGCCACTTTAGTCGGAAGACTCAAGTTCAAACATTAAAATAAGGCACGGTTTCATTCAAGTTAAAAATACTGTTCCACAGTTTGTGTTACCCCAACCATTCCAGCCACAAAATATAGATCTTTTTTCAAATCCAGAAGGTATAAATTACAGTATTTTCTTTCAAAGTAATTTAACTTGTGGGAGGGTAATGCTTCCCCCAGTCATTGTTCCTAACTGCTTTAAAGAATGAGAAAAAACCAAAATATAGTTCTGCATAGTTGTAACAGAAGCCATTAACAATAGAGCTTTTGCATATAAACATTATCCCAGCATTCATCTTACATACCTATACAGTCCTGGTTATCTACATAATGTACTTCATTAACACCTAAACCTTCTTTCTGATAAAGTTCTTGTTCCTGTAAGAGAAATAATGTTATCATATAACAGCCTGTCTGATCATACCACTTACAATGGGGTTAAGCACCCATGCCTGGGATGTCAGATTCCACTAATGACACTGCCACTCTTCTGACTCAGTGTGACTTATTTCCAGTGAAGGTAATCCCACACAAAAAGAACGTGTCATTGCCAAGCTGCAATGAACTATTTCACTGTGGTAAGCAATTTGACGTTGGGAACATAAAATTTCAAAGCTGAAATAGCTGGAACTTGTTTCAAAAACTCAAGCTTCTTAAAAGCCCCATATTTTTCTGAGGCCATGAATATCCCTGTCTCATATGTTTATTCTTCTCTGGGACGTTAGGGATCATGAACACTCTGTCTCCATCTGATGCTAGAGATACGAATAAAGTTGATCCATTTCAGATGTCAGTGGTATAATTAATAGCAGCACAGCATCCCCTGTCCTGTGTGCACCAGAAGATGAGATGAACTTAATATTGTCATTTTCAGGTTTTCAAGGACTTGTAAGCATTCCACCTGTGCTCTAAATGCCACTGGATAATAAGGACACTGCTTTGGATATAATTCCTTCCCAAGTGTGCATACAGGAGTTTTCAAGACACCATGTAAGAAGAAAAAGAACATTGAAAGAACTGTGCTGTAAAGATTGAAGCCAAAACCAATGGTTTCCAGGCTGGAGATGGCCATTATATAAACACACAACAGCCGCTTGACTTCAAAGCCATCCAGGATATTATTCTGGGCCAAGTATCCATAAATTAGGGAAGGAAAAAGTCATGAGTTTTAATCCCAAGGCTATAAAAGTCATTTTCATCTTCTCACTGCCAGGGAGCAGTCAACTACTGTGTGTGCCTTCATCTTGGTCCACAATAAAGATCCTACTCTAGCCAAAATGGGCCTGTGAATGTTCTGCCAAGTCTAGCTGAGAAGTCAAGCTAAATTATGATTGTCAAAAGATATGTGACTTAGTGTCAAGTCCTGGATAGAGCAGCCTGTCATGTGTAATATTTTTTTTTTTTTTGGAGATGACTGAGTTCTGTGAGATTCACTGAAATAGCTCCTAATATTGCTATAGGTAATATTTTCTAACTCACATGAAGCTAACCAAAATTAAGTGAAAAATCAACATATAATAATTAGGGCAGCATATCAGGTTTCTTTCCTGACCACCTGATTGCTTGGCATGTTCTATATTACCTCTTTGAGGATCCTTTCATTAAAGAATTGCTGTAGCTTCTCATTACAGTAATTAATGCAAAACTGTTCAAAGCTGTTATGTTCAAAATATTCTGCAAAACAAAATGGTGAACAGCTTTAGAATGCATACAGTTGGCTTGCAAGATGTCATCTCATGCTCCATTATAGCACAGCATTCCACACACTGAAGTGGGCAGAAGGTAGATCTGGATGCACTGGTAGTTCTCCTGATTTGTTGCAGGTCAAGAAGGATTTCTGACAACCAGTAGTTTAAATAATAGCAACTCCCTATAACATCACACATTATTGTATTGAAATGAAGACAGCTTTGGGTAACCTGGAGTGGATTTTTGTCTGAAAAAATTACTTCCATTTAGCAATCTGGTACATTCCAAGTTTCTATTTTTTAAAAAAGGTAGTTCTTCCAAATCTGAAAATCAGCTGGCATCTGCTTTACATAGCACTAGCTGCTACTACAATAAAGAGTGAATTGTATCCTGTCAGCTGGAAATTCTGGGAGTTGCAGAACCAAGAGATCTGGAGGATATTAGAATGAGGAAAGCTAATCAAGAATGAAATCTCTCTAGCAAATATGAAAACATGTGCAACTAGAATTCATTGAATTAAATGAAAAGAGCACTTTCCTCCATTTTCATATATAGTGGGGCAAAAAAGTATTTAGTCAGCCACCAACTGTGCAAGTTCTCCCACTTAAAAAGATGAGAGAGGCCTGTAATTTTCATCATAGGTATATGATGAAAACTATGAGAGACAAAATGGGGGGGGAAATCCAGAAAATCACAGTCTGATTTTTAAAGAATTTATTTGCAAATCATGGGGGCAAAAAAGTATTTAGTCAGCCACCAACTGTGCAAGTTCTCCCACTTAAAAAGATGAGAGAGGCCTGTAATTTTCATCATAGGTATATGATGAAAACTATGAGAGACAAAATGGGGGGGGAAATCCAGAAAATCACAGTCTGATTTTTAAAGAATTTATTTGCAAATCATGGTG